GGGGCCTGCAAGCTGGGAGGCGACACCCGCGCGTAGTAGTACTGGCAGTAGTAGTACTGGCAGTAGAGTGCTACCACTCAGGGTCGTACGGTTGTTCTTACTCTCTGGGAGGCGAGCTCGCGGCGGCAGCTCATCAAGACTGCTATTGCTTACTACCGCTATTCTGCTAGTCTCACTTCTCATTCTCAGTGTCCTTGTCTGTGGGGGGAGGCGAGCTCGTGGCGGCAGCGCTCGTCGACACGCTCGGCCGCCGCTCCACCATCATCTGGTCGAACCTCTCCCTCTCCGCCTTCACCGCCCTCATCGGGCTCCGCTTCCTCTTCCACTGGCCTGTCTCCGCCTCCGCCGCCGCCCTCTGCCTCGCGATGCTCTCCTTCTCGCTCGGGCCGGGGCCGCTCACCTTCGTCGTCATCTCCGAGATGCTCCCGCTCCACCTCCGCGCTAAGGTCGTCTCGCTCTCCGTCTTTTGCAACCGCGTCGGCTCCGGCACCATCGCCCTCACCTTCCTGTCGCTCAAGTGCGCGATTGGGCCCGCCGCCGCGTTCGGCCTCTACGCCGCCGTCGGCCTCGTCGTCACCGCGTTCTACTACACCTCCGTCGTCGAGTCCACGGGCGTCCGAAACCTCGCGAGAGCGGCGTCGCGCCCCCCCCCACGCACCCCGTCTCTTCACACCTCCGCGCCGAGCGTAGGCCTCTCCCTCGAGGAGGCGACCGCGCCAGAGCCCGCTCTCCTCTCGGCGAGGTCGCGGCTCTCGGACGCCCCACCGCCAGAACCGGCACCAGGCAGCCCCTCGGCCGCCGAGGAGGCGCGGCGGCTGGCCGACCAGGCGGCGATGCGAGCGCTGTACGAGGCGGAGAACGGCTCCCGCCCGCCCCGCCCGGGGGTGGAGTTCTCCGGCCCGCCGGTCGTCGTCGGGACCCCGATCGCGGAGTCTGAACACGTGGCGAGGGTGTGAGCGCGCTTTAGCGCGGCGGCGCGCCGGTGCATCTGCATGTGTGAGAGGTTCTTGTGAGGGGGGAGTGGGGAGCGCAAAAGCCAAGGGAGGACAGACGCCGCCACCAAATACTCCGCAGACATCCAAAACGGGTATGTGGTGTCTTCTCAAGTTGGAGATGGGAGTGCGGGAGTGCGGCTGCGGGTCTGTCCCCGCGCGGAGCACGCGCCGGCCAGTTTGTCCGCCGCCACTTTTTTGTACTCGAGGTGGTAAAGCCGTACGTGTATGTCCAAGCGGCTCAAGCCTCAAGTTAAAAAATTAAATATTCTTAGCTTCGCCCTTGCCTCCGACGCTAGAGACAGTCACCACGGATACATACGTCCGTGGGAGTGCCCCCCTCCCCCACCTGCCCTGCTTACACAGGATAGCATGCCCCGAGAACGGCGGCATTTGGCAGGGGTAACCTGGGAAGGAGGTTTGGTTGTGCTTTCTTTTTTTGCTCTCGAGGGAATGTTCTCTCGACGCCACTGGCCTTCTGAGGTTTCGTACTGGTGACGTCCTTCTTGGCACTTCGGGCGTCGGTGTGTGTGGTGAATTCCCTCGGTTTTTTTAATGTGTTTATTTATTATTTTTTGGCTATATCATCGGACGTTGAGTGACACCTCCTCCAGTCCATCATCTATGCTGCCAACCCGAGCCGTCTGCCGCTCGAGGATCGAATGGCCTCCGGATCGAATCGGCACCTTGACCCTTATAATTTTTTTCACACCTGAGCGGGCCCAATTTTGCTCAGATGCACCTCCGAATTCGAACTCACGTCATCACGCTTAGCGCTTGGTGTGTGTCCGTTTTTCGTCACGGGTTAAGTCAAGCCTCAAGTTAACGAATCGTCTTATTGTCACATGACCGGGCGGCGGCGCCGGCATGCGCGATCGTTGTCCGCGGACGCCCCCCGCCGCCACCCCGCGCATCACCTGCGCACGACTCGGCGGGCTCGCCCGCGGCGGCGGCGCGGCCGGCGCGGCCGGGCCACCCTGCTCACACCCACAGACAAAGAGGTTCACCCACAGACAGAGAACGACAGTCGGACAGGCAACGTTCGCCGAGTCCCCGGAAGGCTAGCGCGACGCACCGCCTTGTCCCTTCACACTACCGCCCCGCTCCCCGGCGCCCACGCCTCGATCTTCTTGGGCAGCAGCTGGTTCGACAGGTCCTCTCCGTGGCCTAGGCAGCCGCGCTCGCCCTGGCCCCACGTGAAGACGGCGCCGTCGGCGGTGATGGCGAGGGTATGCGCGAGTCCAGCAGACACTGCGACGACACGCCGCCCTGCCAACGCCTCCACCTTCTTCGGCAGCAGCAGCTGCTGCTGCTCGTCGCCGTGGCCCAACTTGCCATCGCGTCCACTGCCCCAGCTCCAGACGGCGCCGTCGGCGGTGAGGGCGAGGCTGTGCGTGATTCCAGCCGACACAGCGACGACGCGCTGGCCAGCAAAGGCCTCAACCTTCTTGGGCAGCAGCTGGTTCTGCGCGTCGCCGTGGCCCAGCCGGCCAAAGTATCCATAGCCCCAGCTCCAGACAGTGCCGTCAGCGGCGAGGACGAGGCTGTGGTTATCTCCAGCCGAGACAGCGACGACGCGCTGCCCGGTAAAGGCCTCGACCTTCTTCGGCAGCAGCTGCTCCTGCCCGTCGCCGTGGCCCAGCCGGCCGTAGAGACCAAAGCCCCAGCTCCAAACACTGCCGTTGGCGGCGAGGGCGAGGCTGTGCACACCTCCAGCCGCCACGCTCACGGCGCGCTCGCCGCCCAGCGGGGAAGGGAGGCGGGTCGGCGTGTTGAGCTGCGTCACTCCCTCGCCGTGGCCAAGGAGGCCCGGCGTCCAGTTCTCAGCCGCCCCGCACGACGAGAGCCGCCCCTCGCCATCGATGAAGACGCTGTGCTGTTCGCCTGCCGCCGCCCTCGCCGGCGGGTTGTACTCGCGCAGCAGCGCCGAGTAGCACAGCCACCGCACAGCGCAGTTCTCGCCCTCTGGCTGCGCCGCCAGCTCGAAGCCGCGCTCTTGCGCCCACAAGCGGATGCCCTCCAGCACAAGCGAGGCGTGGAAGAGCAGCGAGACGGCCGCGACGCGAGCGATGTCGGCGGGGTCGCAGCGGGAGATGACGCGCGCGAGAAGCTCGAGGGGCAGGTCGGTGAGGGGGCAGTGTGCGGCGGCGGCGGCGGCGGAGGCGAGGCGGCGCGAGCGGCGGCGCGGCGGTGGACATCGCGAGCGGTGGACATCGCGAGAAAAAGAATAAATATCGAGGCGCGCTTTGCCTCTTCCTGGAGACCTAATTTAGAGCCAGTTTTTGCCACTTCGGTTAGCTCTTGTGGGTCCGATATCGAGACCCAAATATCTGACCCCGGAAATAGAGGCCATGAGAGCAGTTTTTGCCAATGCTTCGCCTTCGGGGTCTCTAATAAAGCCTGCGCCCGACGGGGCAATCCAAGCGCAGGCCCCGCACGCGGCCCTGCTGCCATCCCGTCGGCTGAAATCGACCAGGCCCAATCGCCGTGGGCCGAACGACGCACCGGCCGATTGTTTGAGCAATGGCCTGTGCTGCGGCCATCTCGGACGTTCAAGCGGCGCCAGCCAGCGGCTCGGCCGCGCATCCTTCACACACGCCGCCACGACCGGGATGAGAGGGCCCGGTGTCGAGCCCTGGTGCGAGCTTCATGTGAGGGGCGGCTGTGGCCACAGCAGGTCCACCAGATGGATCTCAAAAGCTTGCCGTCGGCGTGCTGTCGTGGCGGTGCCCGACACGCATTGAGAGGAGCCGAGAAAAGCAGCGGATGTGGGGCTTCCACGGCTGCCAAGTGGTGGTCCATGACCATTCTGAGCAGGGCTGTGCTTTGGTGGGGCTGTGCTTGAGCATGTGTGAACTGGGAGTGCGTGCCGGCGGTGTCTGTGGGTGAAACAGGCGTGTGTGAGGCTGCAAGAGCCGTGGTATGAGCCAGAGTGAGCTTCATCACCCAAAGTAAGGACGGTCTGGGACAGCCCAGGCTTGATCCTGATGGGTCTGGGCCAGGAGAGCGACAGAGAAGGCGAGCTGGCGAGATGGGAAGCCGCTTCGTCGGCATGGGGTGTGCGTGTTCACACGAGAGAGAGATGCAAGTGCCAAAAAGCGTTGTTTGCGGCTATTGCTCAAATCTGTGGGAGAGAAGGCCTACATACTATGACTGCATCCATGCGCCTAATGCATGAGGGCTGTGGGTCGGGACATATCACGGTCGGTGGCGCCGATGATGACCTCCGGAAAGCCCTCACAATTGCTCGGCACAGGGCCACCGGGAGTGCTCTCGAGCCCTACACCGGAGCATCACGAGCCGGTATGAGCTTGAAGACCCAAAACAAGTGCGGTCTGGGACAACTCAGGCTTGCTGCTGGTGGGCCTGGGCCAGGAGAGCGACAGAGAAGGCGAGGTGGTGAGCTGAGAGCATGAAATAGCGCTTCGTGGCACTTGCTTTCAGCCACAAGGTCATA